GTCGACCGTCGTATTAAACTTCAAAACGGACCACGACTGTCAGCCAAACGGTCGACCGCCGGTGGCTAACGGTCGATCGCCGCCGTCCAGCCGAAGTCCGCCATCCGCAGCCAGTCAACAACAGTCGACCGTCGGTCAACCGCGGTCGATCGTCACGGTGAATCGCCAATCCGACCTGATGAAGATCAAGGTCGACCGTCGCGCCAAAAGGTCGACCGTTCCGAGCCCAGTAGTTTTATTAAATGATATTTTAATCATGTTTCATCCAATTAAACTAAAGCATGATTATATATTCATATTGTTTGCAAATTGTTCACATCATGTCATTCATTTCAACATTTATATTGAAGCATATCACATCATGTGCATGCGTAAGAGATCATGCGTAATTGCGTCTCTTATAGCGTGATTGTGCGGGACTTAGTAGTCCGACATCACAAGTTTGGGCTTAGTGTACGTACATAGTATTCAGGTCTCCGGGTACCACCCCTATTTTCTAGTCTCACCTCATTCGTGAGACTAAGGCCGCGTGAGTTCGTCGTACCAAATGGGTGAATCTCATAGCGCAAGGGTGTTTATAGGATCATGCATCATGTTATCATCATCAAGTACATTTACATTGATTACATAGGTGTCATGTAATCATCATCAAGAAAAAGTATATTGATTACATAGGTATAATGTAATCATCCTCACAAGTAAATTGATTAAATGTGCCATCATTAAATTGTCATTAAGTATTTATCATCATGATTCATCAAATTTACCATATAATAATATGTGCCATATCATGAATGTTACTATACATTTTGTGGACGTATATATATGTATATATATATGTCTGTGAGTTATTCTAAATTCTAGCGTGGTACCACTCAGCGGTTTCGCTGAGCGTGTAGTTTGTATTTTTCGTTGACTACACGTAGGTAATAAGAAGACAATGATGGAACCACTCCCGGAGGGCATTGAGTCAGAGGAGATGCAAGGATGGCAGGCAAATGTTTGATCATCAGATTTTAAAATGTGTCATGATTTGATTATTATTGTACTTCCTCATTACTCTGAAAATATTTTAAATGGGTCGCGATCCAGAGTCTATAAATTTAATATTTTTAAGTAATTGTCATTTTCAAATGTCAAGCAAAATTTTTATTTAACCATCGTTTCACCTTAATTCGTGTAATTCCGAGTTATACGAATTGGGGTGTTACAACATCATTGAACAACAGACTTGCATTCTCATGAATTTCTAAATAACATACGAGGAATATAGACTAATCATCAGGTTTGTGCAACGGAACAAAGTTGATAGTTACTCAACTCGACAATCATCTTATTTAATGGACGGTGCTGACAGGGAATAATGTTTGTCAAAAATTGTCATCCCAGGGTTGTTGCTTATACGGTCATATACGAGAATTCCTTTTAAATTTCAAAGGAAACAATTCTTAATTATGATTTCATATGCAATGACGATTAATAAAAGTCAAGGTCAATCTCTGTCGCATGTTGGGCTTTTACTCAATAAGTCGGTATTCCGTCATGGTCAGCTTTACGTGGCAATTTCACGTGTCACAAATTGCAAAGTATTAAAGATCTTGATTTGTAATGAAAACCTTGCATCATCAAACCAAACTACAAATGTAATTTATAAATAAGTTTTTCAAAGCTTGTAACGCCATGGATCCACATTCTCTATTATTACATATTTCCCTTTCTTTAATATTTGATTATATTTCATTATCTTGATGTATTTATATCAATTTCCTTCATTAAAACTTTTCATAATTATTTAGTATATAATTAGGCTGTGCAACTTAGGGGTGAGCGTGGTACGGTATTTGGTTCGTACTGATACCGTACCAAATATTTCGGTTCGGTATGATGAGATTGATATGGGATTGTACATCGCACCGATCCCAATCTTGAAGTATCGGTTTTGGTTTCTGTAAATACTGGGATGAATATATATACGTACTTAGTTACACTTTGAAATCTACAAAACTTTTTATTTAAAAAACCCCGAAAGTACATTCAAATAAAGAAAGTTAAAGAATTGAAAATTTAATGATTAAATGCAAGAAATGGGCTGAAATACTTATGAAACTTACTTTAATTTATACTCCGTATTTAACAAACAAAAGAGAACGAATGATAAAAAAATAGTATTTCAAATGTCTGTTAATTTATTTATATTCATTTGTAAAAAATTAAAATTCAATTAAGTATTTAAATAAAAGATTATTTGTAATTCATGTACACTTGAATTGTCTTTTCAAATCAATTTACTTTTTAATGAAGAAATATAAAAACATTGTTATTTTTATTACATATTTGTATGTATGTTCGATTCGGGAATTTTCAGCTTGACAAGTTATCTCGCACCGATCCCAAATACCCCTAGTGCAACTAACATGTTAGATTGATTCCCATGACATTGGGTCATGGGAACCAATGTCATGGGATGACCCGAGGGTGCTCCGATGTCCCGTTCATAAAATTGACGGTTCCTACCATCTCACCCCTCCGGTAAACCCCCTACTCCGCCCCGACCCGAACACGCCCCCCACCCCTTCAATTACACCCCCAAGTTGATTTGGGAGTCAAATTTTGACTCCAAAATCAAAATCATCTTGGGGGTGCAATTGAAGGGAGTGGAAAGACGTGTTCAGGTCAGGACGGGATGTGGGGGTTTACCTGTGAGATTAGAAGATGTAGGAACCATCAATTTTATGAATGGGACATCGACCGGAGCACCCCAAGTCATCCCACGATATTGGGAACCAATGTAGGAGGAACAAGTGCTAACATGTACCCGAGTACCAATTTCGGAGTAACCTTAAAAAAACACTATAGCAATCGCAAATTATATGGTACATCCAGCTGTACCTTCCTTTAGGTAAATCTTGGTATTTTTGTAAATTTTGCAAACTTTTTATCCAATGCCTAGAACATATATAAGAACTATTATATATGACAATGAGTACCAGTAGATTTGAGAAGGAGTACCAACACTTATGAGAATTATCATATTCTTATTCAATACAAACATGAATAAACTTGGGTTTTAAATTCTCCAAGCTCAGAGAGTATAAATGAGTATGAACGAATCGAATAGAGAGAGAAGTTGATGATTGTACTGAACTTTTTAATTGTGAAAAAATCGAACAATACTTTATTTCAGAATGAACATTTCCTTATTTGAGAATGAGTATTGTTTTTTTAAGAATGAACACTACGCTATTTATTATAATTATATTAGACAAATCTGTAAAAATGAGTACTTCTTTATTTTAAAATGAGTACTACCTTTGCCAGAATGAGTACTACGTATTTCGAAATGAATGTTTATATTTATACGAGAATGAGTACTACTTTATTTCAGAATGAGTACAACCGGGATGTACCTATTTCTAGGTACATCCGGATGTACCATATACCAACTCTATGTGGGGTGTATTGTATAAGGATTTTTATTCATTTAAATAGAAATCAGTGGAATTTGAAAGTTTGGGTGTATTCAATTTTAACTTTTTAAAATCTATAAAAATCTAGTTGTATTCAATTAGGATTTTAAAAAGTCATTATAAATTCTATGAAAGTCTACCCGTATTCAAAATAGACTTTTAAAATTGAAAAAAAATCTAGAGGTATTCAAAATAATATTAAACCCATGGATTATAAAATCATTCATATATGAAGATATTTACTCCAAGACTATAAATACTCTTTCTCCATTATTTTCTTTACACAAGAGGAAGTATTCTTCGTGGATTTTTTTTTACACTAGAGCCAAGCCCTAGGTCCGCCGTCTCATCATCCTCAACTGCACGACAGCTTGAAATCGTAGCAACGCAGCGCCATCGAGTAAGATTTTCATTTCACGAGATTCATCAGTCCTTAATTGTTTGCTTTTTCTTTGGATTTTGTCTTGTCATTTTTGTGCCATGTGATTTTCTTGAATGATGAGGCTTTCTTTTCAATTATTAGGCAATTATGTTCTCTAGGCTTTCTTCAATCCTAGTTTTTATTCCCTAATTGCATTTGGTTTCATTGGCGTCGATTTGTGGTCTCGCATCATAAAGCCAGGCCGCATGCGGTGAAGGCTTCCCTTTATCCAGGTTCGCTAATTGGGGGGTTGTTCTGTCTTAAATTTTTTCCTCCTCTCAAGTTTTATACAGTTAGATAGATTTTACTTCAAAATCGTCAAAGATCAGTCCTTAATTGCTTGTTTAAATGAAACAGATGAGAGTTATGAATGAGATGATACTCAAACACAAGATCAACAACGACAGAAAGCAAACGAATGTAGATTGAATCTTGCAAATCAAATGTGGGCAACAGCTAATAGTGAAAATAGTTAATTCGTTACTTTAATTGTTTTACAATTAAATTTGTTTTCATTTTTGTTGAAACATTTGATTAAGATGATGAATTTTATACAGTGCAATGTTTTCTATCTATTTTATTAGCATACTTACTTTTTCGTTGTGTGCTCGGTCAAATTTTATTTTTCAATTCAAAATTGATAAATTTTGATCATCAATTAAATTAAAATTACATTATCAATTAGTATTAAAAATAATACAATTAGAATTATTTAGTAAAAATATTTAAAAAAATTATATTAGTTTATTTTATATAAAATAATATATATCTAATACTTATTCGGTTAATATAAAATCTATTTTGTTATTAATATAAAATATAATATTTATTTAATTGAAAATTAAAAGTAATCTTATTTGAGTGCAACAAATAACGCTGGACAGGACATACTTGGATGGTGGAAGTGAAATCTATAAAATTATTCAAAATTAAAAGTCCATAGACTTGTTAAAATCTATAGAAATTATTTATATAGAATCAATGACTTTTAAAATATCAATAGAAGTCTATGACTTTTAACACAAGTCCATTGACATTAATAGAAGTCATTGATTTTAAAAATAGGAATACAATTCTTTATACAATACAAATACAAAGGAACTGGGAAGACGCACGCCAAGACAGAGGAAGACCAGTAGCCTCAACTTCCCTGCCGCAGGCTGCCCGCCTCACCGCAACGCCCTCCAGGTCCAGCACTCCAGCATTCTCTTCACTCTTCACTTCATCAGGTATGAACGCATGATTTACTATAATTTATTGATTTTAATGATTAAATCCCTAATTTCATGTCTTTTAAATTTTAATTGTTCGATTTGTGTTTTCTTCTTCTATAGTTCTATGGAATTCAATTTCAATCATTACTTGGAATGATTAATGAATTGTAATTTGATAAAACAATCAATTTTTTATTTTATTTTTCCTCTTTAAAAAAAATATTGCTAATTGGTTCAAATGGCTTAGCCGTTTAAGGATTTAGGATTCTCTAATTGTATATGCCCAGGTTATTATTTTTTATCCAAAATAAAAAAAATAAAAAAGCTACTCCTTGGTTCTCAAAATGTTTTTATATGGAGTACTATACTTGTAGAATGGTTCCTAAAAAACGGGTATCGGGCTATTATAAACATAAAAATAAAAAAGACTTGAACTTACACAATCCTAGAGGGGAGCCCTAGATAAATTCATTTTATATAGAGAGGAGGTCTCTTTTTATGTAAACTTGCAGTGATGTTTTCTATTACATTGTAACAAATTCAATAATTATTATGTAACTTCTTTAAATTTTACTTTTATTAGATACAATAGTCTATAGGTGCCAATTTTGTGTTTTTGCATAGAGCCGACCGGCTGTGCAAAAATGCACTGTAATAATGTAAATGTGCATCGTGATGGATGAAAAATTCAACATTTTCTTTTCTCAAGTTAAGAGCATTCTCACTTGATCCACACCCTATATATGTGTCATGTATGTATTATGTATGTATATGTGTGTGTCTGTGTGTGTATATACATATATATATATATATATGTATGTATGTATGTATGTATGTATATATATAGTAAGTCTAATTTGACACTACTTCAAGTGGTGCTAAATCTCGACACTTGTTCTATAGGGACACCTACGGTACTCTGTTCATAGAATTGATGGTTCACAAAATAAAGCGTTACTTTTATTCTATTTTATTAAATTGCTAATAGATCTACTTGTGGTCTTGGGAATTCAGTAGGAGTTCAATGCGGTCACATTGAGATTAGATTAACAATTAAATACGGAGTATTATAAAGGTCCCTTTCTTTTTGCAAATTCATGCGGCTCTGGTTAATAGTCAGAGTTTGTATTTCAAAGTTCAAAACATAAATTATTGCATATCAATTTGAAATTAGATCGCAAATTCATGCGGTTGATAACCAGATTTTTCATTTTGACTTAAATTGTTGCAGAACAATTTGAAATCTGAGAGAAGGCAAAAATGAGATTACTGAAAGTGGCTACATGCAATCTTAACAATTGGGCTATGGATTTTGATTGCAATATGAAGAACATACAGGTTTCCATTTCTAAGGCTAAAGAGGCGGGAGCTATGATCAGGCTTGGCCCCGAGCTCGAAATCACTGGCTATGGCTGCGAGGATCACTTCCTTGAACTTGACACCGTCTCTCACGCGTAAGCCTCTTTGAAGTTTGCTAATGCTTAGAATATTTTCTGCATGCAGAAAATAATTTGTACAAAATTGACTGAGTTTTAGTTTATGAGTTAAAACGATGTATCCCCTAACAAGTTTGAAATCAAGATATTGTTAATAAATACTTATTGAAATAAAAGTTTATCATGCTTATCCATATTTGTTTTTCCACTTGAGAGGTTGTTTCTAGTACTCACTACTTTGTAGTACAATTCTTTGTGTTCTACTAAGAATGTTCATGCTCTAGTAAACTTGCAGGTGGGAATGCTTAAAAGAATTGTTGCTAGGTGATTGGACCGATGACATATTGTGTAGTTTTGGAATGCCAGTTATCAAAGGATCAGAGCGCNGAACTCCGATGGTTTACAGCTTGGAAGCAGAGATGTCTTGAGGATTTTCAGCTCCCAAGTGATGTTTCTGAAGCTTTGACTCAGACAGTAGTTCCATTTGGCTATGGCTATATTCAGTTTTCAGACACGTATGCAATTCTTATCTGTCCATTTTCTATTTATGTTGGTATAAGATACATTTTGATATCGATACAAGGTTCCAATTTCTCAAAAGTTATGGAAATCCTTAAAATTTTAATTTATAGGCCTTTTGTGCTTCTCTCCCCTGCCTGAATGCTACCAAATGTGTACGTATAGTAATATTTGGCTAAGCATTGTGCAATTTATAAAAAGTTCTTTGGTCTAACTTAATGTAAAGAATTTTGTTAAGATTTAAGAGATATAGAGTTATGTATTTGAGATAGTCTAATGTTTAGGAATAAATGCTTCTATCAGAGCTGTTGCAGCTGAAGTTTGTGAGGAACTTTTTGTACCTTCACCACCTCATGGTGAACTTGCGTTGAATGGAGTTGAAGTATTTATGAATGCAAGTGGAAGCCATCATCAGCTAAGGAAGTTGGATCTTCGCATGCGTGCTTTCGTAAGTGCCACTCACACACGTGGAGGCGTTTACATTTACAGCAATCTACAAGGATGTGATGGTGGTCGACTTTATTTTGGTAGCCACATGCACCCTCTTAACTTATTTTATAAAATATGTCTTATTTTGATTGAACTTCTACTTTTTCTTTTAAAAGATTTTTTTCTCTGATTGAAGAGTTATTTACTTACTCTTTAGCAATTCTATACACAACAGAGTTAAAGAGTTGGGAAGAAAATGTATTGGTTCAATATTTTCTGTTTTGCAGATGGATGTTCTTGCGTGGTTGTGAATGGAGACCTAGTAGCCCAAGGTTCACAGTTTTCTCTAAAGGATGTTGAAATGGTGTTTGCTGAAATTGACCTTGATGTGGTATGATACAAATTCTTAGTTGAAAGTGCAACACTGAGTTAACCTCCCTCTACTGAAGTTTTTGTTTTCTAATTCTTGTATTTATGGTTACAATCAAAGCAACTTGTACTCTGTATAATTGTATGATGTGACATGTGTTCCATACTCCTCCATGCTGAAATAATGTTCCACAAATCCCACAATTGACTAGGCACACTCATAAATCAAGGTGAAAGTGTGTGGTTTTGTTTTGTGCAGTGGAGAGAAATTGTGTGAACCACACAATTCCTTCCTCTAAATAGAAGAGCAAGCTTTTTTGGGACAAACAAAAAAGGAAATGTGGAACCCTTTCTTTGGGACGGAGGGAGTATTCATTTTATTGTGGTTGATCTATGATTCCTTTTAATTCCTCAAACTGGTTGTGTTTTTTTGTTGTTGTTATTTTCTGTCTTGCAGTTACTGTGAAAATGCCATTAGAGTTATGGCTTAATTTCATGAGACCCTATAGCTATTGTAGTTGTCTCATTCTAACTCCATTTTCCATTTTGCACCACTAGTCCCCCACACTTTTTGTTTCCATCACCAAATCTTCAATGAAATCATTCCTTAATCATCAATATAAGTTGATCATGCACTAGCTATGTACATGTTTTATTTAGAAGTATTTTATCTAGATTTTATGCAGCTTATTCAAAACAGAATAAAGGTTGAAACTGATATTTTAAATATAGTTTAGTTACAGTTGAATATCATTTCTCAATACATTTCAATTGCTCTAGGGAATACACTTCAAAATAACCATTCAAGTTGTGATAGTAGATTGAGCAATATCACGAGAACTGCTAATTGAAACAAACAGTGTGTGATAATGATTTTGTGAATATGGAGTCATGGAATTTTGACCGCATTTATCACATTGAAGTTAGATGTCACCTTTTTAGTTGATCAGTTAAAGAATTAAGATTTGACTACTCCCGCACCCACTTTTTAGTGTTCCACGTTCTTTTTCAGGTTGTCTCTTTTTTATTTCTCTCCTTACCATACATTTTAACCATACAAATTCATCTTTCTTAAACTCCCTGTAAAATCAAAACGGGACAATAAAATTGTGCTAAGGGAAGTATTTGAGAAGGAATTCAGATAGCATTATGATATGGTTATGACACACTTATATTTGCTCATAAGTTGCTATGGATACAAAATAGAAGTACAACTTCAATATTCATGCGATATCATGCTGGTTTGGCATCATAGCATTTCCTTGTGTGTGTGTATTGTGTGTGTGTGTGTGTGTTGTTAAATGGGTAGTGGGAAAAGTATTCACCCTTATCATTGGTTACTGGCTTTCAATTTTTAGACTCAAGATAAAACATTTTGTTTCTTGTTGAAGTTGGATTGCATTATTTGTCTGTTTAGTTCTCCCTACATCCCATCAAAAGTGTCTTTTTCACTCTGGTACAACCTTTTAATTTTAGCAAGGGACAACCATTGAAAACTATCAACTTTAGATATATTTTTTAAATTATGTGTTGGTTGAATAAATTTAATGTATTTAACTTGTTAAAGATACAAAATAAAACATTAGATATAATGAAAGTTAATTTTTTTGTTCAAATATGACTCTTTTTGTGATAAAAATAATCCTTCAAATTTGAAATCAGGCTCTCTTTCTTTGGACAGAGGAAATAGTATACTGTTGTCAGCTTACAGATCACCAATTTTTCTCCTGCTTTTATGCAAGGTTGCTAGTCTTAGGACGTCTACTAGCAGTTTCCAAGAGCAAGCTAGTTGCAAACCAAAAGTTTCTGCAGTCATTGTTCCTTACAAGCTTTGCAAGTCCTTCAATCTCCAAAGGTCACTTTCAAGTCCTCTTAAGGTAATGTGACCTATAACTATGGTGCTTAAAGTCTTTTACATTTGTTTCCCTTGTAATGTTTCATATTTGCTTGCTCAAATGTATTAATTTCTTTTAGGGGTCGTCCAGTACATTTCTGAAGTGAATGGTACTGAACCAAACTGATTGTGGTTTAATTTTGAACTAACCAGCAATGAACTAAAAGGAACGTACGGAAATTAAATTCAACTGAGCGGCCCCTTATTTGGCAACTCTAGTTGTCTAAGCTGATAGCTTGTGCAACAAGTCTACTACAACCTGCCATGTTTTTAGGATAGTCAATCAACTCTTCACTTGTAACTGGTATGTTTTGCTTGCTGTTTGTAGATTAGGTATCACTCTCCTGAGGAAGAAATATCACTTGGGCCTGCTTGCTGGTTATGGGATTATTTAAGAAGAAGTGGTGCATCTGGATTCTTGCTTCCACTTTCAGGTGGTGCTGATAGTTCATCCGTTGCTGCTATAGTTGGTTCAATGTGCCAGCTCGTTGTTAAAGGTATTTTTTTTTATCTCCTTTATAATCCGAACATGAATATTTATATTTATTACCTAATTGAATACCCTTTGGAAGAAGAGTAGGGATCTTAAAGTTTCATTCTTGGCTTGACCGCTTGATAGTAGTACAATTGACCTTGGGACTGGGAGTACATTTGGTTTAGATATTATATATATACATGTATATATATGTGTGTGTGTGTGTGTGTATGTATTTTGAGGATAAGATTGTGCTCTCAGCCTCTCAGGCCTGCTAAGGCTGTGTTTATTGCATGTGCTAGCTGTGCTAATGTGAAAGTTGTAGCCTTGTAGGTATGGACTGTGTGCTAATTTGTTAAGTATGTGGATAGTATTAATCATTAATGTAGCAGTAAAAGTGCTCTCAAATCCTCTAACTGTAGCTGCATTTTTCCTTTTAGCCATCGACTTTGATTTCTTTCATTTTTGTTTTCAATTTAAAACCAAATTCTACTTCTAGCCCAAAGTATCTTCACTATGTCAACGTGTCACTTAGTTGAATGACCAAAAGTTGAATATACTTCTAATGTAACACACGCAAAATTCATTTTATTTTGAAAATCTGTGATTATGAACTCAAGCATGAATCCTTTAAGTAACTAGTTGTGTTTGACGACTGATGCTTTTTAAAAAATAGATGAATAAATTTGAGAGTAGGGCATTTGAAGTATTGGACTTAAATGTGTTTTTTAGCACATGAGATGGTTAATAAGGGCGATGATATTTGAACTTGGACACTCAAGTTGATAGAGTGGAGATAATTATAGTGTTCTACTAATAGCATTAATGAGTGTTTGTTTAATGAAAGGGTCAAGCTTGTATAGCGCGGCCACCTTTCCAGCCTGACTAATTTACTACTCCCTCCGCCCCAGAAAACACTTCCCATTTTGACTACAAATTGTGAGAAAAGTATATTGAATTATAATATAAATTTAATATATTTGGATTCATCTTAGGATATAGTTTTGATATATCAAATTTTTATAACATTTCTTTATTTGGATTATGTTTAATTTATGGTCAAAGAGTGTTACTGTTTGACCGAAAAAAGTCAAAATGGGAAATGTTTTCTGGGACGGAGGGAGTATCTTGTATAAAATGAACCAATAGTGGTTTGACTGGTTAGTCTTCAAGGCACCCATAGTGATATTTGCCAGAGGACTAGATTACTTATTCATTAGGATTGAGTCTGCTATTTAATGATTACTTTATTTTCCAGTAATTATTTAAATTACTGAATCAGTTATTAAACTGGTGCTGAAAGGGAGAAAGACCAAACTAGGACTAAAACATTGAGAATATACCAAAATAGGACTTCCATGTTTTTATTCCCGAAATAGGACTTACATTACCAAACATGGTCATATACATTACCAAAAAAGTATAGTAATTTGCACATGTACACTGCCACATTACCACAATGCAAAGTTACATTACCACAGTGCCAAGTCCTATTCTGGGAAAAAAACATGAAAGTCCTATTTTGGTACTTTTCTCTATGTTTTAGTCCTATTTAGAATGATTTCTAGTGCTGAAAATAGGTCCACTAAGTCTACTAAGTCCACTATCCCACTTGTTTAGGGATATTTAGTTGTGTTGATGTTATATAAATATATTAGCAATGATCAGCCATTCAGGCTAAGGGGAAGAGAAAATATCATTGAGTCTATTCCAAAAGATTCTCCATTTGCTAATAGAATTGCTTCGAACATGATTCTTGTAAGTGACTAAGTGAGTTTATTAAAGAGTTCTTTCCCTTAATTCTTTCTGTTTCTAAAAGATTCAGAATGCGATTAAACCACTTCGATATCAGATACCAGTTCTACCATTATGGTGGTCACTCACTCAAACAGAACAACCCAAAATCCTGAGGGCAATCAAGAGCAACCATTGGGCAACGATCCATTAGCAGGCTCAGTTGAAGGCAGTGGGTGCACTACAAGAGGTGGCTGCTCTTGATGTTCAGATCTTGTTCAGTGAGGCCCGTGAACGAAGGAGAAAAATCAGTCTCAGTCCAATGGCAGTGACTGGGAGTCTAATTCAATCAAGTGGGGCTTCAAAGAATCTCATGCTAAACTTTAGTTCCCAAAGTTTAGCAGCGGTGATCTGAGAGGTTTGGCCTGGCCACTAGAAACATATCCTCACTTGATGGTGGGAATATGTGGTGATGCCATTCAGCTTGACAAAGGCCTTTCTTGAGGAAATTTGTACTAGTTTTCTTTTACGGAATCTTGGTATTCATTAATACACCGGAACATCATAAAAACCACCTCAGAGAAGTATTTCAGGCACTGCAACAACATTCTCTTAGGTAATTTCTGGGAACTAGAATTCATTTGAAATCTCAAATTTCAATTCAAATTTTTGAAATCCCATGATTTCAAATTCCAAATGTTGTTTGGAAAACCATAGAATTTCAATTCTAGAATTTGAATCTTGAATTTGGCAAAGACGGAGACAGAAGCGGGTTGATATGTATGGAACTGTTGTTGCATAAGGGAAGCACACCAGTTTGCACACCACTCCTCCCACTACCACACGTTTTTTGGTGTGGATGAAAAAAGAGAGCGGATAAGAAATGTGTGGTGGGAAGAGTGGTGATGTGCAAAGTGGTGTGTAAAGTGGTGTGCATGCAGCATAACTCATTTGTGTTTGAGTTTGTTTTGTATTAGAAGAATTTGGTCCAATTCTAAATCCAAATTCTTTGAATTCCCAAACAAGTAATTTCGATCAAATCCGGATTTGACAAGTTTCTAAACATACCACTATGCATATCATATTAAATGTTCATTTGGACAAACTTGGGTGTCATTTCTGGGCCACTGTAATTCAGCTCAAGGGGTAGAAACAGATTATGAAAAATTAGTGCAGTAAAGGAATGGCCAACCCCCTACTACTGTGATGGAGCTTCGGGAATTTCGAAGACCCACAGGCTATTACTGGAGTTTTTTCAAAAGCTATGGTATGATCGCTCCACCCTTAACTCATTCAGAGTATGACTGAAGAGAATGCCTTTTGCTGGTCCGAGACTGCCAGCTTTTAACTATTACTGAATTCTAGGGAAAAATGCGTTGCATCCCCTTTGAATTATCGAATAGGCGCAACATACCCCGTGATAATGAAATTATCTTCATAGACCCCATTAAATTTTGTAAGAGGCTCACATGTCTCAATGATAGAGAAACTATTCTGAGGTATAAAATAACATAAATACCCTCATACAAACTATACTCCCAAATTAGAGCTCCATCTATTTTTTGCACGAAATTTTAGGAAGGTGAAATAGTGTAGACGTGATCTTTGCAAAAGAGAGATTTAATTTGAGCCACATGTTTCGTTTTTAAAATGAAATCAAAACTTTGTGTATGGCTGTCACAAAAAGAAAAAGGATAATTTAACTTTGAGGTAGGAATATCAGCTTATCTATGTGTATCATTTTAAAATTCATACCATTGGTTCAAAATACTTGGACTGCCTAGGGTAGACAAAATGATAATATCAAAAAGGAAAAAAATAAAATAAAATAGAGGACAATTGTGTAATGTTGTTGTTATTAGTACTATTATTGTTGATGTTATAATAATAATAATTGTTATTATTTTAACCCTCAAACCGAGAGTCATTCACAGGCACCTAGGGTACTCTATTGGTAAAGTTGATGGTTTCTAACCCCCTAACGCCCTTCCCATAACACCCACCCCCCATGCACCCCACCCTAGCTTTCATTTTAAAGTTCATACAACTGGTTCAAAATACTTCGAATGACAGAAGTGGGGAAGACCAAATGATAACATCAAAAAGGGAAAAGTAAGATAGGGGCAATTGTGCGTTGTTATTAGTATTATTATTGCACCTCGGCTTCCTTGACATTGCTAAGCAATTGCTAAGCAATGTCATGAGATGACCTGGGGACCCCCCGTACGTAAAATTGACAGTTTCTATCCCTTCTACCCCCTCGTAAATCCCCCCTCCCTATTCAATTGCATCCCCCATGTTTAATTGACTTTGGAGTCAAAATTTTTACTCCAAAGTCAATTAAACTTGGGGGATGCAATTGGAAGGGGTGGGGCGGGGTGAAGGGGTTTACTCGGGGGTTAGGAGGGGTAGGAACCGTTAATTTTACGAACGGAGAATCGTACGGCCCCGGGTCATCCCATGACATTGCTATGGGAACCGCCCCCTTATAATTGTTGTTGTTATAATAATTATAATAATTACTATTTTTATTATTATTATTAGGATCCCATTTTTAAAAATCGGACCGGAGACTAAACCGGTCAAGGTTCTGGTTTACTGGTTAAACTAGTGGTTCAAACACACACATGAACAAACACATATATCTATATATATACACACACACACACTTATATATATATATATATATATCTGTGTGTGTCTATATATATATATATATACATATATATAATAGACATATATATATAGACATATATGTATATGGGATTGACTCCAGTGAGATGACATCTTATGGTGCGATGACATGCTTCGGTCAGATGATGCAAAGCTCACCACTGCCCACTGCAAAGCTCACCAAGCACAACTACAAAGCTCACCAAACTGTAAGGCAAAGCTCACCATATTTTTTTCAACACTTTGAATTTTTTTTGAAAAAATAAAATCAAAGGAAGGGGTGCTGACTAGACTTTGACCGTTGACTCCAGCATTGACCGCCGCCTGCCGTCGCCGGTCGCCGCCGCCAGTCGCCGCCGCCGCCATACTCCGGTCGCCGGCCGACGCCGGTCACCGCCGCCGTTGACCGGTGGTTGACCGATGTTGCTATATTTTTAATTAATTTTTTAATTTTCAAAATTAAAAAAAAGGTGAGTTTTGAGGTTCAAAGTGGTGAGCTTTGCTTTATTTCCAGGTGAGCTTTGCATTGTCCATTGGTGAGCTTTGTAGTGTAGTGTGGTGAGTTTTGCGTCATGTGACCGAAGCATGTCATCGCACCGTAAGGTGTCATCTCACTGGAGTCAATCCCTATATGTATGTATGTATGTATGTATGTATGTATGTATGTATGTATGTATGTATGTATGTATGTATGTATGTATGTATGTATGTATGTATGTATGTATGTATGTATGTATGTATGTATGTA